TGTCAGGTTTTGGGCTGTTTGGTAGATACTTTGTGCATCTCCACCAGCCAGTCTGTTCAGCGACTTGCTGCTTGAAATGAAAGTGTGTGAGTCTGTTCATGGCCAAAAGAACCTCTTGAATAGAGGCCAAACGTGTTTAGAATTTTCTGTACCACAATATGGTGAGGCTATGTTCAGCACAACGAGAAACTTTACCTCTTTGCGCTTGTATCGACTTTGAGCACAAAATGCATGGAATGCAGCAGAAAGACTAACACAGTACTAGATCCCACAATTGAGGCCTAATTACAGCGCCTCATGTCATGGTTCTGACAACCAACTCCATAAGTGCCATAAATGAGCAGCATCATACCATGTCTGCCAATCCAAGAATTTACACCATCACACGATGTTTTATTGTTTCTCCCCTTCTGTTCAGGGCCTCAGTACACTGAGGACATGCGGCCCCCTCGTTTGACCAACCCAGCGGCAGTGTTGCTGTCTTGGAATGTAGCTGGCCTCAGGGCACTGCTGAAAAAGGTGGGGGAGCTGCTGCTGCAACACAAGCCTTCCAAGGGAGATGGTGTCCCCATGGTCTGCACTGGCACGTGTATGCAGACATCGTTGATGCAGTTTTCAGGAGCCTGGGCGATGGATTCAACCGTCAATGCAGTGGTGGCGAACAATAGAAGGCTTTTATTAAAAGACTTTCATTAAAAGCACACAAAAGCCAGCTCACTAAATGGACTGCTCAAGTGCCCAAAACAGTTTGCCTGCTTGAAATGGCTTGCATTGGTGGACACACATGGTTGCCACAACTCAGGCGCATTCCAAGGGGATTGGCGAAGTCCATTTTTATTTCATTGTCACATATGAGGCAAAATCTTGCCCATCAATTGCAAGACGATGGGAGACATTAGGGTGCATGGTGCACACACGAAATGGCAGTTTAATCGCACCAGGTGACTATTTAGACGCGAAAAACCTTGAGATCTTTACACGGCCTTCTATTTTCTTGTCAGGTGGCAGATCATCTGCATCTTTGTCAGTGTGTTGGGTTTGGCACCCGAACTTGTGAATGTGATACGATATGTTGGAAAGAAAATACATAGGGTGAAATCTGTGCTCCACTTGGGTGCCCAATGCTGTTCCACCAGTCTCAGGCCATGTCAGTCAACCTTCTGGATGAATGGAATTGATCAAATTTTCTTGAACAATCCTTGTAGATGGGGGGTTGATGCAATCAATAATCGGACATCAGATGCACGTCCAGTACCTTAATACATCCGTACATTTTTAAAGATCGCAACAGGACAGGTTCATTTAATTTCAACTTCAGCAGACTCTGGCACTCAATTCTCTTGCTCTTCATATTCAAGAAATTGTTGCAGCAGCAGAATTGGGGCCTGAAAATTGCGCAGCTGACAAGAGTGTCACTGTCCTATTTCGAAGAATTGCACGATTAAATTGGAAGAAAAAGGTGAAAGTAAGAATAAGATTGCGAGTTCCTTTGGTTACAATGTGTCAACAGCGCATTCAAAACAAGGCCACTACACCTTGTGGGAATGATGGATACAGAAGCAGCCAACTGAAGTTTGCTCGTTCCTCTTCCCAGAGCCGAGCAATGCGCCTTAGGTTAGATAGAGTTGTGCAGCTGTGAAGCCTGCTGTGTACTTTCAGGATGAAGCTTCTCTCATGGCCCTCCTCGCAGCTGAAAAGGCAGACATCCTCTGCCTCCAGGAGACCAAGGTGCAGGACGTGCACACAGCAGCGATCGAGGCAGGTCTGCCCAATGGCTGGCATGCGCATTGGAATTGCTCCACAACCAAGAAGGGGTACTCAGGAACTGCAGTGTTCAGCAGGCAGGCACCTTTGTCTGTGACAAAGGGGATTGGCGTAGAGGAGCATGATGGGGAGGGCCGAGTGATTACCGTGGTGAGTGTAGGAATGGAGCTCTAATGGAGAGGCAGCAGGGGAGAAATTTGCCTTGATTGCTTGTATGCCGTGCACTGCAAGGAATGGACACATTGTTGTGCAAGATTGTACCAGAAAAGAAAGCAAAAGGAGGCATGCAAAATCCCAAAAGAAAAGAAGAGAAGCGTAAAATTCTGTCCATTTCGTCTTGCTTGGAAGGCGGCATCCAACAATTGGGGCTTTGTCGAGTTCGGATATACTAAGTTCCCCACGCTTCAGCGATCCCTGTGTGGCACCTTGGTGATGGAGTTGATGTGTACTTGGATCATGCCCATTCTGTTAGATGGTACTTTGCTGGCTTTGCAGTCAGTTTTCGATGTCCTGTGCTGCTCTGTCAGTCAGCCTCCAATGACATGTGGTATGATGGATGTGGCTTTGTAAACATTGTCCAGGAAACTGGTCTGAGCTGTGGCATCGAAGCCATATTTTGATTTCACAGACGTTTCCATAGTGCGACTTGCTGCTGTTGGCCACAGATCTCATTCTTTCTAAGCAGGTTGTGCAATTTTTCTGTGCAGACAGCTGACAGTGCTGACTGCCCAGAATGTTTCATTCAAGTCTACAGATGCCCATGTGAGAATCCAGCAGTCGCCGAAACTGAAAGTAACCTATTGTGAAGAGATTTTGCATTCTGTTATGTCCACAACGCTGCAGGCTATTTCCCTTAGCATTGCATTTCCATTCACAGCACAAAAGAAGAGCTTGTGCACCTTGCAGACGATGGCAGGCACGCACACAGCAAAAGCATTGTTCATCCCTTGTTCCTCGTTTCTCCAGCACTGCAGACGTCCTGACCTCTGTTACTGCAGCATCTTGAAAACTGAACTTCAACTGACATTGGATCTGGCTGTGTGCATTGGTGGCTATCCGCTGACTTCCATTCACAGGAATTGGAGGACTTGTATGTGGTCAACGCATACGTCCCCAACAGTGGAGCTAAGTTGGAGCGCCTTGAGTATCGCGTGACCAGCTGGGACACACAGTTCAGTGCCTACCTGAAAGGTCTGGAGGCACGAAAACCAGTCATTTTGACTGGGGATCTGAACTGCGCCCACCAAGAGATCGACATCCACAGCCCCAAGACAAACCTCAGGAGTGCCGGATTCACTGTGGTAAGCACTTGGCAGCCAAGTTGATGTGGCTAGCCTACTTCTGTGCAAGGAGTTGCAATGCTGTTTTGTGCCTTTGCTGTGAAACCACATTGGCCGCATTCATCATTTGCAAGGGACTACCTGCACATATTGTACGATGCAAACCACGGCTGATGTGCACAAGCATGATTCCCACACTGTTCTTGATCACGTTTTCTGTGTGACAACCCAAAGCACAGCCAGCGATGTTGCACTCTTGCGATTTGATTTGTTGGCAAGGGCTGTGTCCCACATTTGCTTGGCTTTTACAACAAGAGAGTGATATTGCTCCCACATGGCCATGACAGGCTCTTGTTTCAATGCACTTTGTGTTCCCACAACGAGAATGATTGACATATATCCCCACCGTGCAATAATGATTGTCACAGCCAAAGACAGAGCAGGAGATGCTCGTTTGGGGGCAGTTGAATGCCACCCTTGCTCCTCCAGCTTGTGCCATGCCGAACGGTGCTGTCCGCACTTGCAAACAGAGGATGACTGAACTCTTTTACCCACACTGCTAAAGCTGTGGCTTAATGAGTATTTTAGATGAGATTGTCACACCTGTCTGACAGGCATTCGGATGGAAATGCTTGCAGTTGGAAAGTGAGACAAAATAAAAGCAAACTACAGGAACTGTATGATGTGCAATTGGAGTGGAAGAAGGGCACCAGCTGCCACCATACTGCATAGGGTCTTGTTTTCGTCTGGTCATGGGCCAGCTGGCTGTTCAATTCCTGTGCGTGTGCTTGACACAGGAAGAGCGCACCTCGTTCACAAAGAACTTCATCGACAATGGGTTTGTGGACACTTTCCGAAGGCAGTACCCAGACGTTGTGGGCTACACATACTGGTCCTACAAGCGGAAAGCAAGGGAGAACAATAAGGGCTGGCGGCTGGACTATTTCTTGGTGAGGGCCAGCGAAAAGTCTCTCTAAAATCAGAAGGGCAGTATCCACACCCTAGCAAGAAATTCAAATGAGAAGTTGCACCAAGATTTGCTCTGAGTTCGCCCCATTTTCCACGTTCTTCAAGGTCGGCGGGTCGGCTGGCTTGGAATACTGATGGCTGCATGGGTATAGTTACTGTCTGTAGCAGATCCTGTAAACAGCAGTCGGCGGTTTGGGTTTGCACCGATATCGTTGCCTTTTTGGCTTGTTATTTTTGAGCTCTATTGTGGCCTTGTGACTGGTTGCTGGGCATCAAACAAGCTGTAGTATTTGTGCTGAGATGGTAGTCTCATCAGGGGTCAGTGTACCCTAAACCCTGGAACGTAATGCTGGAAATTTTAGAATGTCAGCAAAAGGACAACAGCACTGATATATTGTGGTTTGGTTGCTGGGAATCAATGTTGTTGCTCTCACTCTGCTTTGATTGGACGGATTGTGCCACTGTTCCCTTGTATCAGCAGGTCCATACCACACACATGTTCCGAGTCCATGTCACCAATTTAAGTGAAAGTTTGGTGCAATGTTAGTAAGCCAAGAAGTGCTTACATCATCCAGGAGCGATTGTGCCATGTTCCCTAATTCCAGTCCGAGGTGCAACCGCTGGTTCACTGCCTGAGGCATGTACCAGCAAGGGCAAGTCCACTGCGATTTTGGCATTTCTTTGCTGAGCGGTGACCTTGTTGCATTTGAGGCCTCTGCATCCTCTGATGCATACAGCACACCCTCACAATACTTCAAGTGTCAAGCTGTGTTCTTCCTGGCTCTAGAGCAGTGCATCACATTGAAGAGTCCAGGAACTTAGGAGGGGTTGTGCGTTGTGTGACGCATTGCTACATTCTAAATATTCTCTTTTAGTTTGTTTGCTTAGTTTTCCTGTTTAGTTTTTGTTTTGACTTATTTTGTTTGTACATATTCTTGCTGCAATTGTTATGTCAGTACGGTATCCTAGGTGCAAAGGCCAACGTGCCATTCACCTTTCTGTTGCATGCACAAAGTGCTCCACAAGTGCCTGAGAGAAACTGACATCAGCATTGTTGCCGTGTCCTGCAGGTGTCTGAAAAACTGGCAGGCCGAGTACATGATAGTTTCATGTTGCCCGGGTTTGTGGGTAGCGATCACTGCCCTCTGGGCATAGTGGTCAAACGTGGGAATGCAGAGAACGCCTAATGGGGGGTCCCTCTTGAGCCGATGTGAGAGCCCATCTCAAACTGGTCAAAACACTGCTGGAAGTTCGCCTCGTTTCCTCCCAGGGCTTTCTTTCCCTGGAGGACCCAATCGCGTGTGACCGTCTTTGAATATCAGTGACCGTTATGGTGGATGTGTTGTGGGTCTGGTGTTTCCATGCACCTCTACTGGTGTCTGTACTGCGGGCTTATACAATGCTAAATTGCAAACCGCGCTGCGGTTTGCCTGGTCAGGAGCACTGGCCCAAATTTAGATTGACATGCCGGACCCCGAGAGGCTGGGGCGTTTCAGGACTTGGTGACTGAACAGATCGGGAGAAAACAATTGTGCCGCGACTGCTGCGGCTGCGGCTGCAGGATTCGCCTTATGCTGGGCGGTGCCGAGTGTGCTGCAGCTGAATGGAAGAGGGAGGAATGCATGTGCTGTAGAAGCCCCAAAACATGAGCCTTGGGGAGCGCGCAGATACAGGCATCGCTCTGAGCACATTGGGGCAAGGGTGGTAGCAATTTTGGACGATGACGGTTACGGTTGGACATAAGCTTGGGCGCAGTTGGGCACACGTACAACAATGTTGGCTGCTTTGCCCTTGTGTCATCATGCTGCGTGCGTTGCACCCCAGGCAGGTTGCATAGAGGGGACCAGTGCCCTTGTCAGAGGTTGTACGAGTATGTGTCAATTTGCAGATGCACAGCACAGTGCAGGACATTGGTGGGTGGAACTTTCTAGGGGGACGGAGTTGGAGGGCTATTGCTTGCCGCATGAAATCATGGCTCGTATGCAGCGGCCAGTCAGCAGTGGTTGCTTCACCTCTGGTACGTGGTCTCGATTGAGCAACCACAGAAGAAGGCAGATCTGTCACAGAAAGCGTGTGAAGATGGGACTGCGTGTTTGCACGCAAGTGTGTGTCGAATTGTAACGGCAGTCAGCTGAACCGGCGCTCCCATTTGCTGCCTGCCTGATGGTCCTGCCTTGCACCCTTCAGTGCCCATCATGCACAAAACGCAGTCTGTGTACTTGAGCCCTAGTAATAAGGGGTTGACTATGAAGGGAACTTGAGCCCATCTTTGGCAAATTTGGCAACTGAGCTAGTCGTCCAGTGCATTGTCAACCAGCAACTCGTAAACAGAGCAAAGAGCAATTGTGTTTCTGCTCGTTGTGGTTGGATGACACTCTCATTCTAAAGCATGCTCCCATTGGCACACCATTCACAAAACTATGCCCCATTTGCACGTTCATGCTGATGGGACGTCGGTTTTGTAAGCGGTGCCAGACACTGCTTATGAGATCCCTGACCTGCCCAGCATTGCCTGCATCAGCTGACTCAAGGGTGCAGTTCAGTCGTGCAAAAGGCAACCACAACGAAGGAAGTTGTTGTCGTACCGGCTACCAACTGTTCGACACAATCTGGACGAGATGGGCAACACCAGCCCCAAGTCAGCCGATGATATTCAACGTCGTGAATATAATGGCATAGGCCGCAGGCATGACGCCTTCTGATTTCGATACTCAATGTGAATCTCATACTTGTGGGTGTTGGTTTTATATTCACCTATGATACAATCAACAACAATAGCGCCACGGAGAAGCCCTGTGTGTGGACTGCGAGGCGGTGCCAAAGTTCTGGCAGCCGCAGTGTTCATCCACAATTATGCACAAAGTAAAAGGTATGAAAAATTTTGTCATTGGCAGTCCCATCTACAAATGTGCGCAACATGATTTGCTGCACAACCAAAGTCCTAACGAGCATGAAACCATAGCACCCTTGGCTCCACAAAGAATCCCGCGAGGCACCCTTGCCCATTGAATGCCCATCCCCAAGCACACCCACTGATGTCGAAATCCCTTTTCGCGGGTCAGCGCAGCGAGTCCATATCGATTCCCGGAAAGTTTGGCCCCTGGGGCCCAGAATCCCCACGTCCCTCGCCCAGCTTATTGTCGGGATCGTCATCGCCGTCGCCCGGCGGATACACATCCCGCCTTTCAGCGTTGTACTTGCTCCTCAGTTGCCTGTCCATCACCACCACCAAATTGTCATCCACCAACAGTCACACCAAACCTTCACCCCCGAATTCGCGCGGAGTCTTTTCTTAGCAATGAACAGCAAATGCAAGCGCAAAAAGTAAATGACCCACAACCTCTTGCACCCTTTTTTCCCCTGGCTCTTTTCGCCAACCGGAATGCTCGACAGATAGGCTATTTGTCTGCTTGTACATTCATTCATTTACTTGTTTATGTACTAACTTATTCATCAACTTACCATTAACTTGCTTACTTGTCGGTTTATGTAACCATTACCTTTCTTACTTTCTTTCTATTTTGTTGTTTCTATCTAGTATGTTGTTTCTGTCTGGGTGCTTTGGCCTTGCACCCAATTCGCCAAAGGGGCGATCTCCCTTACTGGCATGGAATGAGGTCGCCCGCCGCGTCGGTCCCAAGGAACAACATCGTCGCAAAGGGGTGCTTGAAGGCGCCCTCCCCGTGCATTTCTATCCACGTCGACTCCTCGAGCTCGGGGGCCGTCAGATACTCTTCCGGGACGTAAGCCACGGGGGCGACGTTCGGATTGGGACTCCACTCGCGCTCATCCACCAGGACCTGGAGGCAATCCCAGAGGGAAGTGAACAAGCAATCACGACTGGGAGGTGTGCAGATGGAATCATGACAGCAGAAAAGCCCATTTCACGCAGCTTGTAGCCATGCTTTTGCTGCCATTGACAAAGGCGGGTATGGTCGAGGGGTGGCGACTCCTTACTGGGCCCGTGGGCTCGAGTGCATGGCAATGGTTTACAGCGGAGCAAGGGGACAACAGGTATTTTGTCCCTTATACCCAGTCCGTTCACCAATGTTCTTGATGCAATTCCTGATGCCTCGTCACCTCTTTATGCGCCCAGCTGTTGATAATACTTTATCAGTTCTCGTTACAACACCATCTTTACCAGTGTCACGTCCGACGTTGTCTTGAAAGCGCAAGGGCAGTGTGGTGAGCTCTTCCCCATTCGCTTCCTATTTGGACAACTGGGCAGCGACCTTAAACTACCACACCCCCAAAAGTGCGATTGCGCAAATGCAACACAGTGATTGACAAATTAGAGACAGCACAGGTGAGTGGAAGGGTTGGCCGCGAATTCGTGGCTTGGTGGCTACACTTGCCCTTCAGCAAGCTCAAGAGATCCACTTGTGCAGGTGCATTTGCCTGCACCACCAACAGAGCACACGCGCCTCTTGTGGGCATTGATGGTCCGTTCAGGCAGGCCAGCACATCGTGCTCTGAGCCATTCTCAAAGACAGGGGTTTACCAATGTGCTGCAGGCTTGCCAGCAGAAAAAAACGAAAAGATTTACCAGTGCCAGAACGGCGCTCAGGCACTCACATGGTAGAAAGGCTGCTTGAGCCCTGCAATCAAGCCATCCACGCTGTTGTCTGCTTGCCAGGCGGTGCTCTCGCAGCACTGGACGTCCCACCCACACACCACCCCACTGTAGCCCTTTTCCATGTGCTTAACACGCTTGCCCAAGCGAAATTGAGGCACGCTGTGGACTTCGGAAGCAGACTCCGCCGCCTTGCGGCTCGCTGCCTCCAGTTCGTTCAGGCGGTCGCGGATCTCTGCAGCATCTGCGTATCTGGGGATTGGCAGGAGCGGGGCGTGAGGGTGGGAGGCTGGGCAAAGAGGTGCAAGTGTGAGAGTTGTCAGAGTTGGTGTCAGAGCAAGTGACGCTGGCAAAAGGGAGGTTTCTCTCCTCAAGGGCATTTACTTATTGAGCTGGAAGATGGGTTCAGTAGTGAACCATCCTCAACGTTCAGTACCCTGCTGGAAACAATGTCATTTCCTCTTTTAACACCTGGTCACCCAATCCCTGTATGTACATATTGCGAAGTTGCCCACCATCGCCTGGCAGATGCAACATCCAGATAGAGATTTGCTGCACTGCAATTGTGTTTGGATTACAGCACATACATTTTCTACGTAAGTGATGGGGGTTGAACACCTAAACTCTCAGGAAGGTACTGGTCCCTAAATGGTGCATGATACAGTTGACAAAAAAATGAGATTTCTTGTATGCGACCAAGAGGAGGTGCTTGCCGCCCACCTCTCATCGTCAACTGCCTTCTGCAGCTCAGATCTCAACCTGACGCCCTGTGACGTCACGTCTGCCACCTCCACTTGTGCCGCTCCCTTTGCCCCAGAGCCTTCTCCCTTCACATCCTGAAGGGAGGCCACCGCCTTGTCCACCTCGTGCAAAGCAACACTGCCTTCCTCAGGCCAATGAGCAACAAAGGCATGGATCTCCTCGCAAGACAAGTTGCCTGTGTGTGATGTCTGCATATGTTGTGAATTGGAGCAGAAGAATGTCTCTTGAGTTGGCTTCAACTTTTTCACCGTTGTCTGCTTTTGCTTCTGCGGTTGGAGACTCTTGTATTCTCTATATGCTATTTCAAATCATTAGCAAACCAATCCAGCTTGCTGCTTGAAAGGATGATAAGAAACTACGGAATGGGGATGCACATCGACGTACTTGCCCTCGAGTTTATGGAAGTTTCACTGTGCTCAGCCCTTTGGTTTGTATTGCCAGCAGATCACAAGCAGATTTGCGCAGAGGATCATTGGCATAGCTGAGGCTGCCCTCTTCTTGACAGCACACACTCAAAATCGCCAGAATGTCCTGCCATACCTTCTTCAATGGACAATAACATGAATTGCGCATGGCATCGTCTATGAACACAGCTCATGTACACACCACACACACAAAGGAAACATCCCAGTGCTCACTATCCCAGGACACCACTCAGATGGCCAGCAGTTGGATACTCCAGTGCACGTACAAGCACTTGCTGAACATGCAAGCTGCAAAAACTGCAACACCATCCACAAATTTTCGTATGCATCCACCAACATCACCAGAGGAAGGAATATGTGGTACTTTTGGGGCGTGCTGACTTGGGACAAAGAAGCAACACCTTCAAAGCATTGGTGCTGCAAGCAAAAGTTAATCAATAGCCAGGCGACCTCCTGTGTGGGACATGGGGCCACAGTTCCCACCAATTAATAATTCGGCATTTACTATTTCAGTAAAGGGCAAGTAGCAAATCGACTTTGCCGATCAACTAACAACAGTAGCAGCCCCTATCCACCTCCTCAGTATTTGCATCAGTGTTTGCAATCGCACCTGTTCCCTCCGTGCCCGAATATCCCTTGCAGCCTCGAAGGCCTCATAGTTAAGGGCTCGCTGCAGCTCAGTGTCCAACTGCAGCTGGAACAGGAACAACACCACTTCTTCATTCACAAGTGAGCTGCGTTCGCTCTCCTTGCCAGACACACTTGCCCCTGCTTCAGAACTGCCATCCATGGCACGGGCCACCAGCTGCCACTGTTTCCTTGTTCGCATGCCTGTCATGTAGTGCCCAGTGTGTCACAAACGTGCACTCAGGTGAATACCAACAAGCCCTGCATAAACCTGTACTAATTTCATTAGAAACACAGAATAGTAACACGCTCCATTTACAAGAAGATGCAGAATAAACAGAAGAATGTCCAGCCGCTGGTGCCTTAGCTCTAGTTCATGTTGCCTCCATTGCCACATTCCTTGAATAACAATGAGTATGTTCTCCCTTTGTCACCAGTATGAGAGGATGTGTAGGGAACATGCAGGTTGGTGAATAGATTATTCAGTGGAAGGGAAATGCAGAAGGGGAACTGCCAGGTCTGGTTCACGCCATGGTGCATGTACATGATTGGGCTTTGCTATGCGGTAGCATGCTCGGATGCCTGTTCATTGCACCTGAAAGCACACTGCACCAACAGAAGGGATGCACATTAGTGCACTGCCACAACTGCACATGTCCAAACGTGACCAAACACGACCCGTTCCACATGTGTGGCAATCCCATCCATCAAGCCCAACAAACTTGTCCTCTTTGGTGGTGGGCGTCAGTGGCACACACTGCCTGTGGCTTCTACACCCAAGTTTTGCACAAACCAAGAGGAGTCTGGGTAGTTATTGGCGTTGTGGTTAGCGTTCGATGGATCTCAGCTCAAAGCTTGATTTATCACTAATGCTACAGCCTAAGCAGAGGGAAATATTCGCATGTGCTGATGACAATGGTGAATGGAGGAGGAGCTGTGAATAAGGAGGAGAACCAAGGCTCCCAGCATTAACATCCAGCATAGTAGGCTGTGAAGCACCCAGTGAGGTGCATTCCGTGGTAACAACATGCGCTCAGACACAACCAGATCCATAGTCATTCCTTAGCATAGTTAAAGACGTTACTGCTGCAATGTGGTGCTGTAGTTCGAAACAGTGCACTCAAATCTAAGCAATTATTGATGTTGAACTTGGGGACCTACCTGCAGGAATGCCACCCAACAGAATCCACATACCCCAACGCTGCGAGCCGAAACGGACAGCCACAGAGCCAGAAGAAAGAACACCGATTGTCCAGCGGTATCCAGATTCCTGACTCTCACATTCCCCACTGCCCATTCACACACACCCCATGGCACACAAACACACAGCCCTGAACGCGATACCCTCCCCCGGTTGTCCCAGCGAAGCCGCTGATGGATCGCCACTCGCTCATCAAGGCAAGCCAAGGGCTCAGCCCGCCAATCCTCCCCATGCAAAGGCCATTCTCAGGATGCCATTCCACGACGCCACCCACCCCGCAGCCGACGGATGGACTCACCGTTGGCGCGGCACGGCAGATGGCCGATGCCCCTGTGCTGCCGGACGCTCGCCTCAACGATTGGAAGCCTGGGGCCCGCGGAAGCGGCCAGCCGATTCAATCCGCACGTCCCGGCGACCGGAATCATGGTGGCCTCGGTGCTGATGCGACGGCGGCGACTGTGGCAGCGGGGGGCGCGGGTCAACAGCAAACCGTCCGGCGGCACAGGGCCCGTTTCGCCGGGGGTATATTGGGGGCCGAGACTGAGGCCCGCAAGTGGCAACGCCGCTGGGTGGGTTGGCTGGGGACGAGGCCAGACTCCACAGCGCCAGCGGCCTTAAGTATTAGCTGGGCGCTTGAGTATGGAGTACACAGCCGTGACTTTGGACATCTGGACATTTCTTGTGTCGCCCCAGCTCTTGAGAACGAGTGTTCTTCAAGGATCGATGGGTAGCGTCATGACACGACGTTTCTAGAAGCGTACTCTTGGGCACTTCCGCTGTCTGACGACTTGCACCGCCGCTCGTTGCTGGCGTGTTTCGACGCGCCTTGTCGATTCACGGCGTCGACTGTCTGGGTGGACAAGTTTCCCCTTCTGGGTCCGGTGTGCACCGCACAGCGTGCTGTGCAAGGTGCAATCATTATCCGTGCGCGGCCCTACGAATGACAATTGTGATTTGCGGCCTCGAGGCACGCGCCAAGTTGGGCCTCTGTGCCATTGACTGCTAACGACTCTCTGGAGCTTACGCCCACCGGGAGACGAATACAGATAATCGTGCGGCACCAACCATCAACTGTTCACGAGATCTGTGAGGCCTGCCTGCCTTTGTCCAAAACGCACCCCGCTGCTAACTTTGCATTGTCAGAACGCAATCCGATACAAATGCTGTTCACAAGCCCCGAAGGTTCCACATCTCATTTGCGCACTGTCCGACGAGCGACAACAGCTGCCGCCCCCAGAGCACAAACAAATCATGCAACCGGTGCCTTCCTCCAACCCAGCTCCACGACATGACCAGCTGTCCCCAGGCGCATCTTCCGTGCAATTAGAAAAGTCAAGACTCGCTCCAGTCCAACAAATCGACGGGGAGTCGCGCACAGGCGCATCAATCCACGCACCCGAATTTGGTCAACAATTCGAAACTTCAATCATTCACAATGCTGGTTGTCCTTGCAGTGAATTCGCAACAATCTACATATCCACTTGGGACGAAAACGAGAAAAATCAAACATTTATGAACGCACCCATTCTTCTTCAAACGAAAAAGATGAAAGCGGACATCCTACTCGCCCTTGTAGGCTCTTCCCACCAGGAAGGCCAGGTGCCTGTGGCCCACGAACTGGGGCATGAAGGGTCCACCCTTGGGGCCCTCCACGCCCTGCAGCGGAGAGTGCCACTGCATGCCCCGCACCTCCATCCCATCGAGTGTATAGGTGACGTCCCTGAATCTTTCTTCGACCTCTTTGATCTTGACGACCAGTTCATCCCTCTCCAGGCTGGGGTCGACCACCAAATCCCGGAACTCCTTGAAGTGGGCTTCGATCCTGGCCTTGTCCTCTGGGCCCTCCATGTCTTTAACTCGCAGAACCCTGAAAAGCCACAGTTGTCGTCAACACAACGGAGATATGGCACGCAACGCCTGGATATAGGAAGACCCTGCCATGCAGCAGGGAAACGCGTGTTACAGTCAGCAACCACCTCCAGAGCGAGATTTACTCATCGATCAAACAATCCATAACCGCATGCCAACGAACGGGTACTCATCAATAAATTCTTGACGATGGTGATGGCTTCATGAGAGCAGTTGTATTACATTCCAGGAGCAAGAGAGGGACCATTCTGGTCACAAACAGCTGCACAAGAGAGTGCAACACAGGGCCTGCGAGCGCAGCGGGAACACAACCCCACACAGCACGGCTCGCACTTGTGCAAGTAGGGCATCTGCAGGTCCACGAATGCCCCCTGGAAGTCGGCCGCCATCTGCCTGGCCAGCCCCGCGGCGTCCCCCTCACCCAGCCCCTTGCTCGCCATTAGCCCCGCCAGCACCGCCCTCGCGGCCTCGCCCTCCGGCATCGCCATCACGCCCTCGATCTGTCTCACAAACCCCTTCACCAGCTCCTCCCGCGGGTAGTTGTTGGCCACGAAGTTGGCGGTGAGGATCGCCACGGTCACAGCCCGCGTGTAGAACCCGCAACCGTCTGCAGCCTGGTCCGTCTCAACCCCCACGGGCGCGTAGTCCGTCCACGGCTTCAGGCCCTCGTCCATCAGCCGCAGCCTCTGGTGGATGTGCCCGGTGTGCTCCAGGTCCCTCAGTTGCTGCGCGGTGATGAATCCCTCGTCCACCAGCTTCGCCCACCCGACGGCCGGGTCCTGCTCCCAGCCATCCGCACCCTGGAAGGCCGCCACCATGCCCTTGTACGCCTCAAAGGCCTCCGCCGAGATCTTGCCCGCGTCCACGCTGGCCTGGCTCAGCAAGACGCTGAGCCCCGCGTTCTTGACGTTCACCACGCCCTCCTCGCAGTACACGGCGTACCACCGCAGGCCCTCGTCCGCCTTCCTTGCAGCCTCACCCAGCGTGCCGTTCGCCGCCGTCAGCACCAGGTTGAGGAACGGGCCCAGGTCGGCCGCCTTCTTGACCTCCACGGGGTTGCGCTTGTAGTCCTGGTAAGCGGGGTTGGGATGTTCGTACGCAAACGGCACGGTGAGGATGTCCAGCGCCGACCAGATCTCCGCGTTCTCCACCCATGCTCGCCGCGTGGCCGCGTCTGGGGCCTCGCCGGAGCCCCACTCCACGGTCTCGGGGTCGAACACCGACAGCGACGCCCAGTAGTTGGAGTCGTCCCGCGTGGGCCGGTCGTAGCCCGCGGGCTGGTCGTACCACGCCACGTGCAGGGAGTCGAGGGCGCCGTCTCCGACGTCCTCCCCCGCGTCCAAGGCCGCCAGGGCGGCGTCCAGGCCCGCGTTCCAGGCCAGGGCGATGCGCCCGCCGTGGGTCACGCCCTGCTGCTTGCCTTCGCCCGACATCACCTGCTCCGGCGTGCCTCCGGGGTACTGTCGGCGCAACGCGGACAAGATCAGCACGCCGCGGGGAAAACAGCGACAACCCCGGAAATGTCCACGGCGGGCATTCCACACCCCTTCATCTGTGTCCCCTTCAGTTTACCGGAGACGGGGCGCGGTGGACGCAGGGTCGAACGTGAAAACGCAAACAACGGAACGAAGAGGGATTGGAATCACGCCCAAATGACCCAATGCCCATTGCGGCAGGCACCGAGTCCACCCCCGCTCGGACCGCCGCGGGGAGAGTTCCCGTCGGCCGCCGACGCCAGCTGGCCATCTGCATACGCCAAGAGGCCAATCGGCGATCGACGCCGTTCGGGGTGGCAAATTCAGTCCTGCCGAAGAGTGGTTCGGCCCGACAACGTGGCGGGCGTTCCCACCGCAACCGTCCCCGACACCCGTTGGACATCTCCCCCCGAGGCGCAGGGGCAAATGCCGCGGCTCCGTACAGCCGCGCGGCCACAATCGCCGCGCAATCACCGCAGCACCCCGCGTGATCCACAAACTCCACGCATCGGCGCCGTGGCCCATATCCAGGTCACGAACCCCTCACCTCCAGCGCCGTATGCACGGTGTTCTTGTCCATCATGCACCCGCGGCCCACCAGGTCCAGCAGCACGCGCTTCAGGTCCCTTAGGCCGTGCGCGCCGCCGCCCTCCACGCCGTAGTACACCACGCGCTGGCCCAGCGCCCCCCCCTCCTCCGGCAACACGTTGAGGTGACGCGGCACCTGGAACATGAACGGCGCGCTCGTGGCGCCAATCAACGGCGCGAATTCCGCCAAGGCGGCCGCGGCAGCCGCCTCCGCCTCCCCCTCGCTCGCGCCGCCGGCCATCGCCTCGGCCTTGGCCTTGCCGCCGATGCCCAGCTTCAGCACCTCCCCAAGGCTCATGATGTGCGTGCTGGTGAACACCTCCGTCGGATCGGATATGGGCCTGCCGCCAAGATTCCCCCGCTTCTCCGCCATCTCGTTAAGCTTCGCAAGGCTCAGCGTCTTGGCGGGCAGCACGGCACCCGCCCAGGCCGGCCTGAGCGCGGCGGCGGGAATGGGCTCGTTGACACCCAGAGTCACCAGCGGCGCCGGCTCGGTGGCGGAGACGGGGTTGATCGGGGGAGCGGCCTCGGGGGCAGGGTCCTCGACCTGTTGGTCACCGAAGCGCTTCATGGTGAGGTCCGGGGCGGCCTGTCGTTCGGCTTTTTCCGATTCGGGTGTCGGGGGCGCGGGCGCGCAAGGTGCGGGCGGTCGGAGGCATCTGGGGGTTAAGTACGCCTGTGGGGGAGGAGGGGTTGCGGGCGGGTGTGACTGACGAGACAGCGTGAAGATGCGTGATGTTGCCCCGTTGGAGCCACGGGGGCGCACGCGGCCCGCCTGCGCTGCATGTGATGCTGCCGGGGTGCTGACTGGCGGCACGCCTTGTGTGTTGCGCTTTCAAGGACTTTGGTGGATGGCGAAGGGAGTTTGAGGGCGGAGGGTGCTGGAACCGAGGTCCCCGCGGCACGGCGGGATGTGGGGCGGCGCGGCGTCGTGGCGGAAGGACATGGGGAGCTCAGTTCCCGGTCGATCTCACGGCCCAAGTCACTGGGGCTGAAAGCCGTGCTCTTGGGCCTGCGCTTGTCCGTTTCCCGCAAAAATTGAGGGCATTCAAGAGACTCGCGGAAAATGGCCTGGTCCGATTTTGAAGAAAAGACTGCCTCAAAACTCTTCGCCGGAAGCGATACCTCAGTGTCTTGGGGATCTGCCTCCTGCCATCACGCTTCTGCACCACAGCAGGCACAATACGGACAACGTTCCCAGGAACGAGAACACCCTCACACCCAGTCTTTCCGATGCAAACAAGTACAAGACTGGGCTCTTTTACCGGTGGCGACCGGTGGCCGCCCCGAGGCGAGAACATATTATTCCCTCTCTGTTTTCCGTGAGGATCCCTCCTTCCGCTGACAAGGCCAACGTGGGTCAGTGGGTCAGTGGGTCAGTGGGTCAGTGGGTCAGTGGGTCAGTGGGTCAGTGGGTCAGTGGGTTACGGTTTAGGGTGTCGGAACAAGAAGGGATCTCCACGGCAAAGCCACAGCGACTAATTTTATGCCAGCGGAGGCACAAGCCCGTGGTAGTTTAGCTCAGGAAGTGCGGCGGGGACCTGTAGTTTAGGAACGGGTGGTCGGTGACGCCCCGCCGACGTGGCGCCAAGGTGGCGCCGGATGTCGGGTCCCGGATCAAGCCACGTGCTCCGACGCCAGCCGCGCTGTCCCCGCCCGGCACCATATCTCCCTCCAGCCCCCCCTCCGCGCCCATTCCTGGGGCCCACCCTCCTCTCGCGCGCCTCGAACCCGCGTTGGACGATCAGGAACCCCCCACCCCACCCCGTCCCCTCCCGCCCGCCGCCCGCAGCCGCGGAGCACGCCTGGCAGGTTAGTAGCGCGACGAGTCCTCGGCACCGATCGTCGCGGATGCCCGTTCTTTCGCCGTTGGGCGCGCCGTGCGCCTTTTGCGCTGCCTGAGGCGATTGGCGTGGCCCTGGCCGCTTCCGGGGAGGGCCAGCGGCAGCCTGGCAGCGCGCCCGGTGGCTGCAGGAAGTTTGCCGGTCAGTCTGCGCCCCCCTGTTCGTGGGCGCAGTCTGCAGAACTCCGCTTTGCCTGTGGGCTCTCAGAGCGGGTAAAGATCCGGTCCGGGGCGGGGAGGTTGCGCGGGTTTTGCGGCAGGATTGGCCCACGTGGCGGTGGCACGTGACGCGGGCCTGCGGCGTGCGACCCCGCAGGGCTGCCTGGACTTGGGCAGCGGAGCCAAACGCGGCGCGTCCAGTCGGCGCCGGACATCCGGGCGCTCGCTGGGCGCCTTTCGTGCCCCGGCACCCTTCGGTGAAGAGGGACGCGGGCCGTGCGTCAGGATCCGATCGAGCTCGCGGGATTGCGATCGGGGAACCGAGGTCGACGGCGGAGGGGGGGATGCGGCCTGTGTGGCGTCCTGCGCGCCTGCGCGTTCTTGTCGCCAGACGGGCGTGGATTTTTCTCCAACGCCGGAAGACCTACCCACGCACGGGGAGACATCCACATCCGCGAGGGACCTGCGGACGCGGAGTCGGGCCGCTTTTTTTGCTGCGCGGCTGGTGCTCTGCGGCGGCTGAGGGCCCGCTGCCGTTAGGCATCCGCTGTCGAGCACAATGGCTGGGCTCGAAGCGCGCGGCGCGACGCGAAACCTCGCCTGTCACTCGTGAGGGATCTTTTCGACACCCGGGAGTGGCGCGCTGCGCGTGGGCGAAGCGCGAGCGCAGCGGGCCGCTCGTCTTGGGCTTGCTTTTGACCGCCTCGCCCCGCCTTCTGTTGGGAAAGGTTACGAAGGAATTTCTCATTGTCGACTTGCATCTGGCGGTTCGCGGTTCTGCGCCGTTGCTTCGGCCGGTATCATAGTCGACGCCGCCGGCGCAGAACCGCCCGGTCTGGTCCGTGCCGCCTCCGGCGGCCACTGCTCAACACCTCGCCTCTTCGGCCCGCTGCCGCAAGCTCGTTCCTTATGGGAGGGGAGTCTGTTGTGCGCGACTTGTTGCCCTTCCTGCGGAAAGGACAATCTTCGGTGCCTCGCGGCGGACTTCTTGCGGAAGAGTGGCGATCCATCGCTCAAGCCGTGTTCGCTTCGCCTCGAAAGGGAATCATTTTGGCGCACAGTGGCAATCATCCAGTGTTCAGGTTGGCTCTGTTGGGGGACGTCGATCACGCACGACAAGTTTCATTCCGCCCAAAAGACAACCGTCGGCGCCTCGCTGCAGAATCTTGTTGAAAAGGGAGACATCCTTGGCCCGCGGAACGTTTCCTTTCTTTGCGCCATAATCTTTCGTGCCGGGTGGCTGTTCAGGATGGCCTTCTTGAGCGTGGTGCCCGAGAAGTCGCTGGAGTTAGGAGATGATGAGAAGCTGCACCGCGCAAGGAAGGAGCAGTTCATCACCCAGTCGCTAGAGGCCGCACAGCTGGGAGGTGGTGGACAGAAAGTCGTGAAAACTCTGCGCGGTGGAGGTGTGGCGGTGGAGCACATCAGTGACAGCGCAAAAATCGCGACCTTTGGGCCCTTCATCGCAGCCCTCACTGGGTGAGCGTTCTTTCTCCGTGTTGTCTCGGCCGAAAATGGGCCTTTGTGGTAGTACGCTTGTGCTCTTGCTTGGGACACTTGGCAGGGCGATGGTCGAGTTGCATTCAGTGCGAATGTCAGGCCCCAGTGGTCTGCGTGCAAGAGAGGGGCAGCTGTCCTGCGAGTAAAAGGAGTCTACACCACCTTCACATTGATAGTGACTAGAGTTGTGGACATTGATCATGTGACACGGCCTGGAAGTTGGCCTCCCACATATCCTGTTATCCTGTTATGTATAGATTCTGTTGTCCCTGTTTCTACGGGCCTCTTGTGCTTTGATTGGTTTCGTTGATTACTTGGAGATGGAGAAAAGGGGTTGTTGACTGTGTGCTATGGTGGGTTGCTGAACTGATGGACACCTGGCTGCAGGGAGCCTAAAGAAACGAGAAAGCATGAAAAGGGAGATCAGTGGCACTGCAGGCGTCTGGGAATGCAACTGCAGATGAGCACTGTCTGCTGTGTGGAATATGAGAGGCGCACAGCCAGTTGGTTCTTAAGCCAGCCTTTCTTTGTCTGCCCAGGAATCTTCACAATTATGGTTACCTTGTCAAGAAGTACCTGCATGAGGAGCTGCAGCTGCCTGCAACAGTCACCCTTGAAGCGATCAAGGAGCGGATGCCAGTGACGGTGAGCACCATGTCCTATTCCCTGCTGAATCTGCATGCTCAGTTTTATCTGCCCTGTTGTAGCTGTTATGCCTTTGCCCTGCTGGATGTCATCTTATTCATTGAGACAGTTTGTGTCTAGTTCCCAAACTCTGGCTCTAGAGTTTGTGCTTTACCTGATGTGCTTATTTAGTAAGACACATAACCTGATACCAAGTTTCCAGAAACCCATGCTTTGCAATTCATGTCCACAGCAGCAGTTGCACTTTGAATTGACTGTGTGGTCTTTGGTTTTGACTCTGTGCACTGGCTTCGTGTTGGTTTTGAGCTGAGCTGGCTTTGCTGGTTTGTGCAGGAAGCAGCACTCTTGTGCCACCTGTATGCTCAATTGGGCACAGCCATGCTCTCCAAGCTACGTGGGCACTTTTCGTTTGTGCTCTACGACTCAAACACAGTGAGTTGATGCTACCTGGTCCCACTGACTACAGAGTGCCTTCTGGAGATTCTCAATATCTCGTAACTTGGCATTTGATGACGTTATGATTGTCAAGATGGGAGTGCACAGAACACACAGTTATTATTGGAGAAGCATTTTGAAAACAGGGTATGAGTGAATTGGCAGTGCTATGTCAACTTTTGTCTAATTTTCAGCATCAATCTCAGCCAATATCAGGCGATGTGATGAAATGACAATAATCATCACCATGATATCAGCATCACACATCTGGTCATCATTCTCTGTGCAATTCAATATCAGTGCTGATAGTGAACTATCCCAAAAGTCTGTTATGACATCTCCCTTGCTTCCTGGGCAACACAGTCAGCGTCATCTGAACTGCTCTATTGCCATAACAAAGTTCCTTTTCCTGAAGGTTCGAGTCTTAGCAGCTCGGGACCCCAGTGGGATGTATCCCCTGGTGCAAGGCCACTTTGCAGACAACGCCCTGTATGTGACAAGTGGCTCATTCCAACCAGCCGATGCCCAGGAAGTCGTCAATATCCTTCCAGGTGAGCTCATGAAGTATGCCTTGCCTTTTACCTTGTCATGCCTCATTGATGCAGTAAACTACGAAATCAAGCACAACTTAGTTAGGCATTTTGCTCGGTTTGTACCTTAGCCTGTACCTGTAGATTGGCCCTCTCTCAAGCTGGCCATCAGCATGGTGCTTTGGTGAAACCAACAGGACCAGCTCAATTCCCTGACCAGCAGAGCGGGTGCAGGACCCATGTACTCAGTGGTACCTGTTGCGCTTACCTCTGTACAGGCTGTACCTTCCGTGCAGGCTGTGCCTGGAGTGCTTGCTGTGCTTGGCAGTACTAGTACCTGCCTTGCCAGTAGGTTACTGTAGGTGTATTCAGTACTCTTATTTCCTGTCTTTTCCCCTTACTGAATGTCGTCTTGCTACACGGCTATCTCCATCGCATCCTTGCTGAGCAGGAAATGCCAAAAAGTGCAGGTCTCACAGTGGCCATGACCGCAAAGCCTCACAGCATGCAGGCAATTGGACACAGTGAGATCGTGTCAGTCTTAATTCAGTGTGCCCAAACCTACTTCTGTGCACCCCACAGCCACACATCGGCAATAAACCACAGGCCAGGTGGAACCTTGATACTTTTTGCATTTCGATTTGCCGCAAACGCGCATTCACACTGCTTGTATCAACCACAGCCTGGTGAAGATTTGCAGGCGCAATGTGAGGAATGGGTGTGAGAAACGTATCTGTAACAATCAAAGTTTGGCAGCATCTCAGCACAGTGCTTTTTCTGCACGAACAGGGCATTACAAGTATGGCTGGCGGGCGCCACCTAGGAAGTACTCCAACCCAGAGGTGGAAGTCAAGAGCCATGCCAAGCAGGCTTCCAATGCCGCGGACGAGGCACTCGCAGGCATCTTCTGCAGCCACCAGCCCCTGGCTGTCAACCCTTGGCTCACGAACCTGGGCTACGGGGGCCGGAGGAGCATGGATGGGGCCCCTCGAACAGGGCCGAAAAGAAATAGCCTAGAGTTTGGCCGCTCGGGCAACAGCCGGCGCAGCCTGGACTCAACGGTGCTGAGAAACCCACGGCAGGGCTTGGATAGTCACAAGGTGGGGTGTGTGTGTAGCTGTGTAGGCACACACTCTATTAGCGTGTTGTGGATGTATCAGTATTCTTGCTGTGTTCAGGTTTTGTTCACCATTTGCACATTTCCGCCCGCTTTCTCTTCTTCATTTTTTCACAATCAGTGCACATTCTGTTCATGTGGCAGGAACATTCTATTAACTTTCAAATCATGTTCCTGTATTGCGCAAATTGTTGTGTTGTGGTCTGTACTTTGCTGTGGTGACCATATTGCCGAAGGGTGTAAGGTCGGGTGGTGCACTGGTGTGTGTTTCCTACCCCCCCCCTTTAAATCCAGAATCTGTCCCAACTGATTGGCAGCCCACAAATAGTTGGCTGGCAGCCATCAACACAGAGAGCACAGCATTAATATTTGGTTGGGCATGGTGTCCTAGCAGCTGTTTTGGCCACAGCTTGCACCCTGTTTCCCTGTAGTTGTTTTGGGGCTTTGCCTCAGGCATGGCATGTATGGGGACCATGCATGTCGTTTTGGTGAACTCACGCTTGACATCACCAGGCAGGTGTCGTTGCAGTGGTGCTCAATACTTGCATGCATGATACCTGGCAGCACATGGGTTAGGTACACTTGTTGGAACTAGATCTATGCGCAATCAACGTTTACGCACACCCTGGTTGTGTCAGCCCCAGAGCCGTGCAGACGAGAAGGGCTGGTGGAGAGCCAAAGATGAAGAAACTGCAGCCAACCCTGCCCTTCCACCAGCCCCCGAGGCCCCTGAACACTCTGGCGCGCCCAAGAAGCACAAGAGGCACAGGAAGAGGCACCGGAAGAGCAAAGCCGCAGCCCAGGCCACTGAGGCCAAGCCGGCAGAAAGTGACAACGAGCACAGCTCAGACTCGGGCTCTGACCACAAGTCTGTGGTGGAGTTCATCAACCAGCTGTCCACCGTGTTCCGCAAGGACTCGGCCTCTGCTCGTATGCTCACCAACCTGCTCGGTGCCAGCCCCTGTGCCCTGGTGGTCACGGACGCCAACCAGGAGGATGCCCCGATCGTGTTTGTGAACGAGCAGTTCGAGCTGAGCACGGGGTACACGGCGCAGGAGGTGGTGGGCAAGAACTGCAGGTTCCTGCAGGCCGCCCCTGGCGCCCCCCGAGTGCCATCCCAGCCGTCAAGCACCATCCGCAGGGCGCTGGACACCGGCAAAAGCACCAGCGTGAAGCTCATGAACTACAAGAAGGATGGGTCACCTGTCTGGTGGGTGTTACGTAAAAGCCACCACCAGCATCATTGCCCACACATGTTCTCTTCTTCCATATTTTTCCTTCTTAACCTTTTCCATACAGGCGCCTACATTGTGTTGGATGCCTGGGTTGAGGCATGGACCTAGCACCTGACTGCAAACTTATTTTGCGAGCTCACAATTGCCAGTGAGGGCGTTCACCACAGGTGTGGCATTGTGAAACCAATTATCATGTTGGCAGTGACTGTCTCAGCCCTTCAAGCGCACGTGTCGAATGGCAGAAGTGCCCTGCCCTTGCATCCTGTCATCTTATTGGTGCTATGAAGTCTGTTGCAAGTTTTGTGCTCCCTGGGAGCTGGTGCACCTATCCCAAGCCCGGTTGTTTGAAAGTTGGGGTTAAGGAGCTCGCAGCCGAGCTCACGGTTCCTGCAAAGGGCTCACAGCGTTATCGTGTATTCTTGCATATTCCGAAGGGGAGCGCGGGGCCCTGAATGTGCTGTCTCCTTGCCAGGAACGACCTTTCGATCGTCCCCCTGCGCGACACCGAAGGCAAGATCACGCACCATGTGGGCATGCAGACTTTCACGCCTGCACAGGACGCGATCACCACAAAGCGCACACTCGCCGGCGCCAGCTCCATGGTCCGCTCACGCAGCTGCAGCGACATGAGCGTCATGGACAAGGCAGCACCGCTGCACACTGGCGGCCTGGCATTCTAAACCGCTCACTGTTTTGGAGAGAACAAAACATACAAGTTAATTTTTGCAGGAGGTTGTTAGATTGGGCGTATGAGAGGAGGCTTGTGTTTTGATGGTGTTAGCTTCGACCTGGGGCACGCCGGGGTGATAGAGTGCTTTTCTTCCTGTTCTGATTTGTCATAAGTTTGAGTGGCCATAAAGAGCCCTGGGCGCGGCCGGAGCCATTCGCTTAGGGCTGCTTCCATGGTGTCTGAGGGGAGCCATGAGTACTGGCACGTTTTTTGAAACAAGGGAATCTTTGGCGGGGCTGCAGGGAGCTCTGGGAAACTCAAGGTAGCATTGATCAGTTCCTGCACAAAGGCCTTGCAGGTTAGTGCGGATGTCTGTGGCTGATGCCTCGATTGAAATGGCGCGCGCGTGTGTGTGTGGACATCCCTGAAACCCGAGCAGGGCAGGGAGATTTTGAGATTGGGAGGACAGCACCAAGGTGCCGCCCTGTTCGTTTTGGGACGTGGTTTGAGGCAGTTCGCCTGCCGAATGAATGAGGAAAAGTGCTGTGGCGCCCTGTGTACGATAGACTTGCCCCGAAGTGGCCGTTGGTTGTGAGGCGAATTCTTTGGAGCCTGTGCTTGGTTCCCGGCGCGGCACCGGGAAATATTTGTTTCTGATTAGTTTTGGGGCAGACTTTGGGCGATCAATCAAACAAGAGAAAAAGAGCGAAGAGGGAGATGCCTTGTTCAATGCCTTGCATCCTGGAGTCCATGTAGGGCCATGTCGGCGCTGAGGACCGAGACGGACTCTGTCAGACTGAGACTATGACATAATCCCAACGGGACCGTCGTTTCTCTCTCTGCCGCTCCAAGCGCGTTGCTAGCATTGGACCATGGACTCGGGACATGCGAGTCATTGGCCTTTTTTCCTTGGGCATTGCAAGCCGTGGCGCTGCGAATTCACAATCCGACGGCAACTGGGCCCGCGGTGCGCTATGCCTTCCACATTTGCCTCATTGGCCGTCACCGCTTCCGCTGAACATCAGCGTTGGGGCGGGGCGGCCGAATGTGGCGAGTTTTTGCTTTCCTGACGGATGACAAACTTGGCTTGGCCGCAAGAGGCTTGTGCGTGTTCCCTCCCGGCTCGCCACCCTTGGCGGCTTTGCTGCTGGGGATCGCTCTGGGTTGGGAGGTTGCAAGATATTGAACGGCTGGGCGTCAGGGCGCTGTGTACATTGTTAAAAGTTTGGGTTTCTTCCCTATGCGGCATTGGGGGCCGACTGGCAGCAACTCAGCAGCAAAAAACAGCATGACGAGGAGACACGTGGTTGTGGTATGTGCAAGGGCTGTTTTTGTGTGTGCGTGTGGGTCTTGATATACCCTGTAATCTGTTGTGCGGTTGAGGTGTTGGGCGTTGCGGTCATTGGTATGGAAGGCCAAAGGCAGCGGCTGTTGGACAGCCAGCGCTCTTGACGAGGTGTCCGAGGAATCTCTGCGGGGCGCGCTTGAAATTGTGACACCTGCACCAACACGCCCCGGCGCCGTACCCTGTCCATGCAAGCAGTTTCTGCGTTGCCCAATTTTCGTGTTGTGAATTGGCACTATCAAGCAAGAATGTGCAGTGATCTTCATGCTCTCGATCTTTGGGGCTTCAGTCCATTATCTTCGTCGTTGTGGAGTGCTTTCACTCCACGGTGCGCTTCAGCGTACTTTAATCAGTTCGATGCATGGCGGCCCCGCATCAGGGTGCTGTCACGGCGTAGAGAGGTACCATTTCTGCCTTACCGGTCTCCTTCAACCCACCCCGTGTTCCCCACACGACAATACATTACACTCACACAGTTTGGTGTCCATCACCTCACTAGTACAAGACCCGATTGGCGACCCACTTAAAATGTGCCCTCGCTTCGCATAGTACTTAATGCCACTCTGATAGTGACTCAACCCAGAGTCAGCTCCCCTTTCCTCGTACTCAACTCCCTCTCCATCCCACAGCTAACCGAACTCACACTATTCGGGTGGGCCGGGCGGGTGCGAAACAAGATAAAGAGGGGCGCCAAGGGTCGCGCCTAAAATAGCCGCTCCCACTTGCCGCCAAACTCCCCGCCAAACCCAAGGGCCAGCTTGACCGGTCCCCTTGGCTGCGCCCAAGGTACAAGGATCAACCCCACCGCCCTTGGGTGCGTCGGGCAGCACTGACCCCGAGTACAGGGGTGACAGAAACCGGTTGATGGATGGCCCAAACTGTCCCAAAGGGCGGAACGGCCCGCCCTGGCCGTTGCGCGCCCACCCAATCGGCGTCCTTAGCAGAAACCCATTAACAAGATAGTTAATTCCATTTCTGCCTTACCGGTCTCCTTCACCCCCCCCCCGTGTTCCCCACACGACAATACATTACACTCACACAGTTTGGTGTCCATCACCTCACTAGTACAAGACCCGATTGGTGACCCACTTAAAATGTGCCCACTCACACTGGGGCACGGTGCAGCTCCTCCGGAGCGAAGGCGTGGTCATGCTTTGGTCACCCTCGGGCCGATGACGCACCGCCCGGGCAGAAGATGTGCCCGTACTGGGCGTGTAAGTGGCGGGCCGTGAGCGTCATCCAACCAAAAAGACGGAAGTCCCACTCGGACGGCAG